CCTTCCAAGAAAGCCTCTCCCACTATCAAACAGCTCTTAGTGTTAGTAAGTTTCTCCTAATGTTTAGCTTAAATAGTTTTCCTTGCAATTTCCACCCATTGTTTCTAGGTCTGCCCTCTGGAGGATCAGAGAATAGGTCTGCTTTCTCTTCTGTTTGACAGCCCTTCAGCTTCTAGAAGACAGCTGTCAGGAGCACCTAAATCTTTAGTTATTATGGAGCATCAAAAGAAGTCACAACAAATGTTCTTAAAAGACACGGCTTTTGCAATCTAACGTCCATCAACTCCAGGAGCAGGCTTTTCAGTCTTCCTGCTAATCTTGTCCATCCTCACACTATTGAAGTTTTTCCCTACCGTAAATAACACAATGCAGGCCTCTGCTCTTTTGCGAGCTGCTTCATGCACCATGGAAAGCAGACCAGTCATTGCGAAGCAGCAATCAGACCATGCAGGATCAGATCCTCCTGTTTAACATCTGTTGACATCTGTTAAGCAGGCTGATCCAGTCTTGCACAGTGTTGGATCACCCCCTGACCTTTTAAAAACACTATTTTAACTATGTTAAAATAGAGTTAAGAAATTCTTTAAAAACAAACAAACCCCTAAGCCCCACCCTCACATTGTTTCAGGGATGGATCCAGGGTGAGATGGTTGGCTCCAGTGGGTGACGCAGGGTGAATTGGCCGGATCCAGGAGGCACAGAGCAGGGCCGCAGGGTGAATTGGGGGTTCATGCACTGCTATACCAAAGAAATTGGGGGAAAAATGTTCTGAGGCCTCATGTAAGTGCCATGCTACTTTATCCTATATATAGGGAGTAGGATGAACCAGTTTATGTCCAAAATATTCCAGGGCTGTTAAGTGAATGGGTGGAGGAGGAAATATATCTACTTGGTTGTAGTGGTAAAATTAACAAGAAGGAAGTGTTGGCTTGATTGACTTGCCTGCCTTCCTTCCATGTCATGGTGCACACTGTAGTCTGTGCCACCACAAGGGAAAATACCTAACTTCTGTGCTCCATATGTACACTTCTGTAGGTCAAATCTATTTGTCTGTAGTCACATCCAGTGCTTTAAAGGGATGACTACTGATGCAAAACATGCAACAATATCATTGATGGCAGCTGGAAAACTGTCAGTGCAGAGTGAGAAAGGCTTTAATCTGAAGACGTTCATAAATATATATATATTTGATTGATTTATTCTAGTTATCTCTGCATCAATGCCTGGAAAGGTGCTACATCTCTTTAAAATTAAATCAATACCTCAAGTTATATAACCTTCAGACTCCAGATGAATCAAGCTCAATTCAAGAGGGGGACTGTGGATCAGGGATAATAAATCAACGTAGCTCAATCAGATGGTAGAAGATTTAGTCTGATTTGTTTGTGGTTTGAATCTGGTCTTATTCGGAAAAGAGAGAGCATTGTACTGTTTGATCAGCCCATAGCTGTGTCCCCGCCTGCCTCTCCTCTCATAAAAATAGTCTGTATTATCCCCTGAACACTTCAGGGCACATGCCTATGGTCTCTAGGAAGGTGCCCCAGATACCAGGAGATTTTTCAGATCTCCATCTGCAAAGGCAAAGGCAGAAACAGAGAGCTCCACACATGGAGAGGCAGACCCAACTTTGTACCTGCAGCTGCGGAAAGGACTGAAGCTGATTCCTCTCTCTGTCTAAATTCCAATGACAGAGCAAGAGAAGAAGGTGTGTTCCAGTGGTAGAGCAGTAGATGCAGTGGATCTGTAGTATTCAAAGTCCTCCCATTTCCCCAGCTCACCTGGAGAATGACAACATGAACCCTGAAACTGGCATATGACTTTGAAGACTTACCTATTTCAGGTTGCTATTTCTTGGGTTTAATTGTAATGTTTGCATCCTATTAGTAAAGGTAAAGGGACCCCTGATCATTAGGTCCAGTCGTGGCCGACTCTGGGGCTGCGGCACTCATCTCGCTTTATTGGCCGAGGGAGCCGGCGTACAGCTTCCAGGTCATGTGGCCAGCATGACTAAGCCGCTTCTGGCGAACCAGAGCAGCGCACGGAAATGCCGTTTACCTTCCCACCAGAGCGGTACCTATTTATCTACTTGCACTTTGACGTGCTTTTGAAATGCTAGGTTGGCAGCAGCAGGGACCGAGCAACGGGAGCTCACCCCGTCGTGGGGATTCGAACTGCTGACCTTCTAATTGGCAAGTCCTAGGCTCTGTGGTTTAACCCACAGTGCCACCCGTGTCCCTTTGCATCCTATTAAAACCTTTTAAACCTGTAAAGCAGGGATGACGAACCCATGGCCCTCCAGGTATTGCTGGGCCACAACTTCCATCAGCCCCAATGATGGTTGGCTGGGCTGATAGGAGTAAGAATCCAACATTGGGTGTGTGGGTGGGTGTGCAGAAGTTCTGCATCCCTGTTTTAAAATGTGTCAAGAATCAAAGGAGAGTGTATCCTTCTACACATTGTGGCCTTTTCCTTGTTTTTATTGGAAACTGTTACAGCTGCTTAAATCTCTCTGTGTGCATATGAGATAGAGAGAGAGAGAGAATGTACACACACTTTTTCCAGTGTGGTTTATTGTTGGGGAAATTAGTTTTCCCTATAAAAGTTGTAGTACCTCAGGGAAAGACTTTGTATTCCCTGTCATAACTGAGTAATACTGTACATTACATTTATTACATTTCATTTACATTTATTAAACAATGAATCTATATGCCCCAAATGTTGAGTTCTTCTGAGGTGTTCTGGAGGGAAATGGCAGTTGTCAGTGATGGCCTCATTTCTTTTTTGGTGGCAAAAACTATTCTGCTCACCCCCCCCCTCACAAATGCTCAGAGAGATGACACATTTTCTAGGCAATTTTGTGCTGGTTCCCAATTAGCTACTAGGCTAGGTTCAAGGTGCTGTTATTTATGTGCAAACCCCTATACAGCTTGGGGGCAGGATATCTGAAACATCATCTCATCCCCAACGTACCCAACCAATCACTGCATCCAATAGGAGAGGGCATCCTGAAAATACGGTCCTGTCAGGAGGTCCGTTCCACCTAATGTCATAATCAAGACTTTAGTGCATCAGAACCTACCTTTTGAAACTCCCTCCCATTTCCTATGAGCCAGTGCCTGTTAAATATGCTTCTCTTTTAGCAAGCCTTCTTAAATATTTCTCCCATTTGGTATTGTCTTAGATGTGAAGTAATTTTAGTTTTTTATATTTATAATTTTATGATTTTATGTATGCAACCATTTAATATATGTTATGATGTTGTAAAGGGTGTTGCATGAAAAGTGATTTATAAATGAGATAAATAATAGTTCTTTTTGTTACTATTATTGGAATACAATATGGCCATCACTGGGATTGGCCACTGAAACCAACGCTCTGCCATGATTGTGCTGTTTCTATGCTGTTTCTCCTTTCCTCCCACCCTTTAGCTTTTTCTTGTGCTCCCCCATGACCAACATTTTGTTTCAATGTTGTTGTTTTTAAATATATAAATAAGGTGCAAAAAATATGTGAAACTATTTTTAACACCATCTCTTCCATCGCAGGCCAGGAATTCAAGCCTGACCTATCCTTAGTTGTATTATTGTTGGAAAGTGACACAAACCCAGTGAATAAACATAAAGACCTGGTGTACTTTTCATTGACAGGAGTGTGGCTGGCTGTGGCCTGTCACTGGAAAGCCAGATAACAGCCACCAATGGAGATGTGGGTTAATTATGCCTGGGACGTACTCCTCTCATGTTGCCTTAGCAGAGAAGGAGGCCCATCAAGGGCATGTCAAAAAGGGTTAGGTTTGAAAGAGGTTTGGTTTCTGTTCTTCTCTTTTATAAATAAGGCACAACATACTCCATATCCCTAAGTCTCTCAGGCTCCTGTGTGGAGAGGCCTCACAGGGGCTCACTGAAAGTGGGTTAATAAGATGCAATAAGACGAATCTCTAAATGCACGAGAACAGAGTGCTCATAAAATCATGTTGGTGGATACGTCCCTTGATCCTGTACTATGCTTGGCTGTGTACAAGCTTTTGCCTGAAATAATTTTGGGAGGTTATGTTTGTTGCTCGTAATGTTGAATGAAAAGAATAAAAATTATTTAAAGTAAATAACTGCCAGTGAGTTGGAGTGGTGCAGAAGTTCCAGTGCCATGCTAGAACACAGGAGGCTAAGGTTCAAATCCCAGCTCAGATGTGGAGCTTGCTAGGTGATCATTGACCACAGAAGTAGGACAACATTTCTGAGAAGACAATTTCCTGAGAACTTTCCTTTTTCAAGCTCCTCCTGAATAGTTGGCTAATTTTAGCCCTGCCCCTACCAGAGAGCTAGTGTGGTATAGTGGTTAAGAGCGGTAGATTCATAATCTGGTGAACCGGGTTCGCCTCCCCGCTCCTCCACATGCAGCTGCTGGGTGACCTTGGGCCAGTCACACTTCTCTGAAGTCTCTCAGCCTCACTCACCTCACAGAGTGTTTGTTGTGGGGGAGGAAGGGAAAGGAGAATGTTAGCCGCTTTGAGACTCCTTTGGGTAGTGATAAAGCGGGATATCAAATCCAAACTCTTCTTCTCTTCTGCCATGAGAACATTTGGCAAAGCAGCATGCCCAATGTTACTGCCCCCAAATAGAGACTTTCAGGCAGAGCTGTGGATCCTGGTGTGATATTTGATATAGTTATTTTATTGTTGTAGTAAGCAATGGATTTGGTTCCTCTGAGCCAAAAATTGTTAGAAGAGAATTTTTGTCCCAAGACTGTGCAGAAAATTTTGCCTCCACTGAGAATACTTGTCAACCTCTTCCCCTATTAAATTGCCGGAGAATAGGATAGAGAGTAACTCATTGCAGATGAGGACTTTTGGTGGACTCTATATTCTTAACATATAGGATTATGCAGGGGGTAGAAACAGCGGCTAAAGTATATAGGAACACAGAAAACTCTTTAATACTGAGTCTCACTCTGGGTCCAGTAGCTCTCCAGGGTTCCAGTCTGGAGTCTATCCCAGTCCTACCTGGAGAGGCCAGGAATTGAACCTGATACCTTCTGCATGTAAAGCATATGCTCTACTGCTGAGCTATGACTCTTCCTCTAACCCTCCATGTCAACATTCTCCCCAAGCTTTTCAGTATCCTGGAGGAGAGAACCATCTATGCCAGTGCTCTTCATTCTTGGATCCCCACATATTGTTGGGCTACAACTCTCACGAACCACAACCAGTGTAGCCAGGAATGATGGGAGTTGAACATCTGGGAACCCAAGGTTGAAGAACACTGATCTATTTCAACTTGAGCTCCTTTGGGGAAGTATTGGGGTAAAAATGAAGTCAATAAACAATTAAAATATAACTAACATTTAGGGTGCCTTCATCTTTTTTTCATTCATCTCTTGAATATTGCATTTCTCCAGCTTCAGGTTTAATGTTTGTGTTCTGCCTTAGACTTTCTCTCCACTTTGTAAATTTCAAGGTCAAGCCTTTATCCACAAAGTGTGAGTCTCATGTCTGATGCAAATCAATAAAGCTGGTCAAAAAACACACTTTGAGGTAAGCGCTCAGTTCATCTGTAGTCTGTAACTTTATGATTTAGAGGCCTTTAAAGTGCTGCAAGTTGATTTTCTACCCCCCAAAAAAGCTGCAATATTTCTTTTCTTTAACACATTAAGTCAACTCTGCAAGCAGTGAATTAATCCACGTTACCTCATGAGGAAACCAAGGGGTATCCACGAGGGATGGGGGAGAAATTTGTTCATCTTACGTTTTAATACAAGTTAATCCACACCTTCTGAACTGATAAGCAAAGCAAAATACAGCTATCTTTCAAAACCCACACTTCTCTGAATTTTATGATGCAGTTCTCCAGTCAAAAAGTGAGCATCAAAAGGCATATATTAGTGAAATTAATTTGTAAAACTTCATTATGTTAGGGAAAATTGCTTGGAAAGATACATGTTGGCATAATTTAATAAAGAAATGCCCATATAGAACTTACTTTAATTCTGTACAGAACTCTACATTGATGTTGCTATATAAATGTTAATAATGATGATGACAGCGGTGATAAATAATAATAACAACAATAACAATAATGACTCCACTTTAAAATGCATATCAATTTTGGATTTGGCTTTTAAAAAAAGCATTCAAATTGATGCAGGAATGAGTCAAACTGAATTTAAAGTTAGGGAATAAGGAATGCAGAGAAACCAAATTTGTCCAATATGTCCATCCTTAGTGTCTAGTTGAAAGCAGTCCATATATTTGTAAGCTGAGCCAAACAGATCACATACTTTCACCAGTCCATTCATCACCCACAAAAGTGTGGGAGGGAGAACTGGGTGACTTTTGGGCTGGTAGAAGAAAGCTGAATACAGAGTGAGGAGGGTATTTAAAAAGATATGGCAACCTTCTCCTATTTTGAGCATGAAATAAAGCTTTGCTGCTGCTTTGAAGTGGCAGCCTGCCCACAGCAGCCCAGCACTAGTCCTTTTCAAATCTGGAATGGGAGGCCCCATAAGGAACAATACAACATTAAGGTGGCCTAGTATCACTGGCGTAGGATCATCCCTAGGGGAGTTATTGGAGGAAAAAGCAGCTGCCCCTGTCGGCCTTCTTGGCAAAAAAGAAAAGACAAGAAAATGGCATACTTATATCATGCACACAGGCTGGTGGTTCTGTGAAGTCTTGAAACTTATCAACAAACCAGAAAGGAACATCATCAGGTACCTACCACCACCTCTGCAGGAAAGCATTTTGCTGAATTTTCTCTGGGAATTCCTCCCCCTCCACAATATCCTCACTCCTCAACCATAAATCCACTCCATAATCTATGAGGATAAAAGAGTTTGCATATACCTAGCAGTATATTAAAATGGCTTTTGGAACTTCCTTCAGATTCAAAGGCAATTTGCCTGGTGATGGCTTGGGAACAATTTGGGAAGAAGGTTGTTCAAGAAACACAGTTCTAAAGCTTTCTTGGATACACAGAACTAATTGCAGAGTTTTCAAGAGCCTGGCTGTGGAGCACAAAAATGTATCTTTAGTATCACCAAGTATGAGGCTCCTTATATGAGCCCAGTGCCGCTTTTCATCGAGCTATACTGTCAGGATGCTGTCAACGGCTCCCGGTTGGTTGCTCAGGAAAGTATAAAGACAAAGTAAAGCGTCTTACAGTCCTTTTTTATTTCACACATTCCAGAAAGACCCCAGCCTCTTGGATAATGGCATTGTCCTGAATGAATCTCCACCCCCATATCTCCCACTTCCTCATTCATCGTCATCATCACCTCCTCTATGGGTGCCGCTAAGTGCCCTCTGTCTTTGAGCTCTTTGCTCTCCTACTTTTAAGGCTCACCAGGTTCTGGGAGATGGATGGTCTGGACTGCTTTCTAATGAAAACGTGTCAGTCAGCTGTTCTGGCTCTCCCATGATTTCCCAACTTTTCCCCTCATCTGCCTCTGAGCTGTGACCTCCCTCAAACCCCTGTTGTAAATCTATACTGTCTTCCTCTTCCTCTTCACTGGAAGGGTAAAGGATGAGGAGGTGGTCTCCACCATTCCTCCTCTGCCCAGTCCCTGACATATACACACATGTCTAGCAGCACAATCCTATACTCATCTTCTCAGAAGTAAGTCCCATTGAGGTACATGGGATTCACTCTCAGGTACTGAGAGTATCATGAGCACCAACAAATCTGGCATTCTACTGAGAACTCCCACACTCATTCTATGTGCCATGAAGTGCCAAATAGCGTCATGAAGCTCTTGGCTCTCAGACATGGTGCGATGCAATTCCAGGGTTGCAGGATGGTAAAGCTGATGGCGTGTTTGGCTATTGCAGATCAGGAACATTCCATTTCACAGGTTCCTTTGCAAAATAAAGACTGAATCGTGTGTACTGATTTTTCCATTTTCTTCTGCAGCTGTTAAAAATCAAATTGAGCTCCTCTAATTGGTAAGGCTCATTAGAACCAAGTATGCATGGGAGTCTCATTCACGGCTCCGAGTTCATCTGAAAGATGAAAGGTTTCACTTGCTCCCTGAACTGTGAGGACATCTAAGATTCATGTTAGATTAAGTTGTGACTGAAGGGGTGGAGGGAGTCTGTTTGCTGAGGACAGGGAGAAGGAGTCAATGGTCTGAGTGGTGATTTCCTTGGGTGCTGAGTACTGGCCATTCATTTCTTCTGTATAACTTAAGCAAGTCATCTTTGGCTCGTGACACATTTTAACCTCTTGATGGGTTGACTTCAGCCGTAAGACTTACTAGTGTTATCCTGTCCCCTTTCTTCTTTGTTTTCCTAGTGTATGTGCTTGGGTTTGGGGGCAGGAAGTGACACAATTCTTAAGGAGAATAGAGGGTAATTGCTGTAGCTCATAGGTAGAACAGGCATTTTGCAAGCAGAAGGTCCAAGGTTTGACCCCCAAATAGGGCTGGAAGTGAAACCACAGAGACCTGCTGCCCGTCAGTGTAGTCAAGACTGAGTTAGATGGGCTAGCGGTCTGAATCAGTATAAGGCAGCTTCCTGTATTCCAAGAGCTGGATTAAGACCTTTAGACTCCCTAAGCACTTAAAATATTTTGGTGCCCCCATATATATATATATATATATATATATATATATATATATATATAAACAGTAACAATAAACAAAACTGTAAAATTAAATTTTATTTTTTGAAATAAAACAAAATCTACAGTAAGATAGAATTATTATTTTTTTGCATATTTACACTTGATTTATATTTGAAAAGAATTCTACTTTTTCTAATTGCAAAATCTTTGATCAAAACTAATCTTACACAGTACATCTGCTTCTGTACTTAGCAGAGATAAGGCATCCAGCCTGTCTGCTTGCATAGTTGTTCTGATGGGATTTTCAATATACTTCAAATGAGAAAATGAATGTTCACAGCTAAGAAATTTGTGACCGTTAATGTTTTAAATCCTGCAATTTATGTGGTGACCCCTTCCCTTGATGACCTAAGCACATGCTTATTTTGCTTAATGGTTAATCCAGCCTGGTATATTCCTGTTCAGGGAAGGGCTGCAGTTCAGTGTCTCAGTGTAGCTCTTGCATGCAAAATGTCCCAGGTTCAATCCCCAGCATCCCTAGGTAAAGGTTGGAAATGTTTTCTGTCTGAAACACAGAAGAGCTACTGCCAGTCAGTGTAGACCAAACTGAGCTAGATGGGCCAGCAATCTGACTCGGTAGATGTCAGCTTCCAATGTTTGTTCCTAAGGTACAACCTGCCTTAAGAAATTGGACTCTTAAGGTTAAATTAAGCAGCTTCTAGTAATCACTCAACCTGGAACAAACAAGATTATGGAGTAAACCAGCTGGAGAGAAATTTAGGCCCTACTTAAAGGAATAGTGGAGATGAAATATGTCATGTTTTCCCCTTTTTCTGTGAACACAGTACACTTTGAGGTCAGCTCTTTTTTTGTTTTCAAAGAGGAGATTATGCAGCTTCCACTTCTTATCTGCCACATGAGGAACAGAGATCCGGTGGGCGGCTGCATTTCAAGGTCTGTTGCCAGCAGTTTTTATTTATTCTTTGATACCACAGGGACTGCAGCTTCAATTAGACCCTTCCTGCTAGAAGAGGTTGAAAAGATTCCCTTGCCCTTTTCCAAAGGTTGAGGTCAGCGGGGTGGTGTTCCAAGAGGCAAGACAAGGAAGGAGAGACAAGCAGGTGAGTTGACAGCAAAGGTCTACTGGAGACTATAAATGAGCCCAGAGAGAAAGCAACAGAAAGGTCACTTGACTGAAACTACAAAAAGAGACAGAAATGTGGGCAAAGCATTGACCAGAAAACCTGGCAGTGGGTTTTTCATGTACACAGAGACACACAGAGAGAGATATAATATCAGTAATTTAAAAACATTTATAACAGATAAAAACACATGTCAAAAGCACATACTAAAATTACATGTCTGGGGAGGCTTACTGAACAAACAAGGTTTTTGCAAGCATTGAATAATGGATGATGTAAAATGAAGCAGTCCCACTAGTGCAATGACTTTTACCTGTGCAATGGTGATTCCCTACCCTCTCCCCACTACCCCCCCATGACCCCCTAAATTTCTTCCAG